TTTTTGTTCTTGCTTTAATCAATTACTACATAAGTTACCATGAATCAATCTACACATGAAATACTTTTGACCTCGTCTAATTCTTGTTCTGCAAGTGCATTTTGTGTTCGGTAAGTACTCCTGTACTCTAGGTGTCTTGGAGATCCTTATGGACAAGTTTACTCTGAGGAGTATTTGTGGTTCCTCCCTGACAGACTAATTTCAAGAGAATATGGAGTTATTCCTGGCGGTTCTGTCCTGCAAGACTTGTTCTGCAAAACTTGTTCTACAAGTACTCAAGGTGTCTTGGAGGCCCTTATGGACAAGTTTACTCCAAGGAGTTTTGTGGTACCTCCATAACGGTCTTATTTCAAGAGAATATGGAGTTACTCCCGGTGTTTTCTCTGCACACTTTTCCTCTATATTATTTCATTGAACTTTCTCTTAGCTTTAATTTTAGTTATTAAGTTTATTTTTCTTATGTTAGTTATTAAGTTCTAAATACTCTGTCTGCAATATTTTCTACATATGATAACTCTGTATACATTAGCTATTCTTTAATAATATTTCATTGTTATTCTGTATTAATGTTATTAATGTATTGATTATTCTCTCTGTAATATTTTGTATTTAACTGACAGTTTTGTATACACTGTTAATATGTACTATTGTAAATGTATATAATTTTTCTCAGCTGTGCTCTTGCGGTGCTGAGTATGTGCCTCGAGCACCTAATAAAAACGATTGATTGATTGATTGATTGCTGTGCTGTTCCGTGACGAAAACAAGCTTGAGCAACAGCGATGTCGAATGGTGCACACTCGGTGAGTAATCCTATAATTTTTTGTTTATAGCGTAGTTTATACGGATTATTTCCAAAAAAAACTATACGTATTTTGGAAATGTTTAGTCGGATTAGTCTAGAATCAATTAATTTTATGGAAGAAAACCTTTCAAACAGCCATAGTCCGTAAACTTCACACGTGTCAGGCTGTGATTGGTTGTGATTCCTACAAAATTGATTCATACGTATTGGAACGTATTTACTGTCTTATAGGGGAATCGACTGTAATTTTTTGGGAATAATCCATATAAACTATGCTATAAACAAAAAATTGTAGGATTACTTATTGAGTGTTCACCATTTGATGACGCCATTGCTTAAGCTTGTTTTTGTTGCATAGTGGCACATCAAACAGCGGGCGCGTGCTTCCTGATAAGTTATTTTTCTGCGAAAAATTCACTGAATTTTGGAGACATCATTAATAAAAATATAATTTTTATGGCTGTTAAATAATAAATGGTTTTTAGTAGGTCTGCTGCTCGTTTAAACTGAATGGTTTGTGCAATATCCGCTATTGGTGTAAATTTGACCAATCCTGTCGCGACACGAGTTCACGATGACATTTTACTGTATCATACGAGTCTCTTTTAGCGTGTTTATATGAATACGATTGCAATTTTTTCACTGTTATATAGGAATCCGAACTATATGAACCTGTTTTATAGGGGGGTCTACTGTAGTCCACTTCTGGTAATACCTTGTCCATTTCATTCATGTTTTCACATTTTGTTTTATCATGAATAATTTTATTTTTGCTTTACAAAACTTGTAGCCCATTTCATTTAATTGATTTTGAACCATATGATTGTAAACATTGGCATGATGAAGTTTCCACTTGTCATTTAATTCTTTTGGTGTGATTTTTTGATTTTGTAGGCAGATGCATCTGAAAGGTACAATCTTGATTCTTCCTTGTTGCTCTTGGTCAACCAGATCTTTTCAATGTTTTTACACTTTCAGATTTTTTCATATTTCTTCAATGTGCAATTTACTTTTAAAAAATCAATTTTTCAAAAATATTTCCTCAAAATTGACGAATAAACTTTATGGGTTAATCGTACATAAATAACCCCCGTTTTTTTGCCTGGACCGCATTTAATCAGAGACAAAGCTTTTATTCGTATTCTTTATTTATTTTCTATGCATTTCGGGTGCAATATTTTCTTGTAATTTGCACCCCTCTTCAGGATTTTTACATTTCTATAAATTTGGTAAATTTAATTATTACATCGGTAAATTACTACAATAGTTATACAATGGTTAACTAATCTGTTTTAAGTTTTAGAACATCTGCCCAGTGTTGATGTTATGTCCCCTAAGGCATTTTAGACCGTTTTCCCCTCACATAACATCAACACTGGGCAGATGTCGTTCTAAAACTTAAAACAGGTTAGTTAACCATTGTATAACTATTGTAGTAATTTACCGATGTAATAATTAAATTTACCAAATTTATAGAAATGTAAAAATCCTGAAGAGGGGTGCAAATTACAAGAAAATATTGCACCCGAAATGCATAGAAAATAAATAAAGAATACGAATAAAAGCTTTGTCTCTGATTAAATGCGGTCCAGGCAATAAAAACGGGGGTTATTTATGTACGATTAACCCATAAAGTTTATTCGTCAATTTTGAGGAAATATTTTTGAAAAATTGATTTTTTAAAAGTAATATAAAGTAAACTGCACCATGGATATATACATATCTATTACTTACTGCAATTTACTGTTGAAACAACATAACCAAGTTGTTGAGAAACTTCTGTTTGAGTTTTCCTTCCAGAATCAAAGTCACAATTTGGTTTCGAAAATCCTTACTTTATTCTTAAAAATAATGTAAAATAATTTATAACCAACAATTTCATTTATATACATAATATGACAAGTGATTGTTACAATTTAACACTTTCAGATGATCAATTTGTATAGATTAATGTGATTATTGTTACATACTGCTTTAACACATTTTTTTCTTCTATGTTCAAAAACTTTTTTCCCAAGATGAAGGAAATGTAGAAAACATTTTCCAGGCTAGGTTTGGACAAGATTTTCTCCTTTTTATATTTCAAATTATTTTTCTGGTGTGATATTTTGCATAATAAAAGCTCTTATCATTAGAANGATTGTTACAATTTAACACTTTCAGATGATCAATTTGTATAGATTAATGTGATTATTGTTACATACTGCTTTAACACATTTTTTTCTTCTATGTTCAAAAACTTTTTTCCCAAGATGAAGGAAATGTAGAAAACATTTTCCAGGCTAGGTTTGGACAAGATTTTCTCCTTTTTATATTTCAAATTATTTTTCTGGTGTGATATTTTGCATAATAAAAGCTCTTATCATTAGAAATAAACATTAGAATTTTTATCATTCTAGGATTATTTATTAACAATTATTGATTGTAAGAAATCAATAATTTTTGCCAAGCAATTGCTGTTCAAAAACTTTTTTCCAGGGGTTGTAGAAATGTAGGTTTAAGTTTTGCTACTGTAATTAAATAACATCAATATAATATCAGTTTTATTAAAGATTTTATTCACTTTATTAAAGATCAAATTATTACTTTATAATAATTTTATTTAAAATAAATTTCGTAATGAAGAATTGTTTTTTTTCAGTGGTTTAGGATATGTTGTAGGATCTGAAATAGCTAAAATATTTCAAGATTGGGTATGGGCTTTAAGAGTAAGTTTTTTAAATAAATATTTTTATGGTGAAAATTAAAGTAACAGTGCTTAATTTATGGAAAACTTATTATTCATTTAATTGATTTTAAGCAATAAAACTAAACTTTTGATCACAGGCTAGAAGAGTATGGTGGTGGATGGAGAGTACCAGCCCCATCAATTGAACAATGTGACTACACATTGTGCAATATGCTTTAAAGCATTGTCATGCAAAAGGATGGATGNTGCTATGTTATATAATGGTAACAGATGTGTGAATTCTTTGTGTAAAAATTTAAATTTTTGTATTTCTAGAAATGCAGAATAATAATTTTAATAATTATAATAATCAAGTAAATAGTACTGAAAACATTGTCTTTTCATCATTACCTGTGTTTAATAATGAAAAGAAATTCCCACAATCACTTTTGACATTTATGAAGATCCTCCCGGCATTCCATTCCAACAACATTTTTTTATACAGGAGATATGTGGATGATATTTTCATTTATTGGAAGGAGGTCTCAGATTTAAGGGCCTTTCTTGATTCTATTAATTGCAACCCCTATGTGTTACTACTGGAGTTGGACCAATCAAGCAAGAATGAAGTGTATTTCTTGGATATCAACATCCATGCACAATGAATAGATATTGTGACCTCAGTCTATTGTAAGCTGACTTTCATTCCATGCTACATTCTGGCTGGATTGTGATCAAATAACTTAAAACAAAGACAAATGTTTTGGTCTATGCAGAAACAAATATTTCCTCAATAGAGCTAACGAGTTCCTCGAACATTCCAGATCAATAGTACTAAAACAAGATCCTACTTCCACTGTGTTAAGAAAAGTGCTCAAAGTTATTGCATTACCGGGAATTGTAGAATCTTTAGCTGGTCCTCTCAATACTTTATCAAACATCGCATGCCCAGATTATTTTTTGAGGCCAAAACCCATAAACCATCATGGCCACTAAGACCATTGGTCAATAAATGTTCCCATCCCACGTATCATCTTGAAGCTGCGCTAGCAAAACACATCACATCCTTAATCCCATATTCTGAGCTTGTAACTACAGCCTCCATCGAAGCCAAATGTACCGTCTTACAAAAATTAGATGGAGAGTACCAGTTCCATCAATTGAACAATGTGACTACACATTGTGCAATATGCTTTAAAGCATTGTCATGCAAAAGGATGGATGGGTTTGACAGAAAGTATTTCCAATTCTTTCAAAAGTTAAATTCCAAAAATATAGAGTAATACTGTGTGTTGACAGTCTGGCCTGGGATACAGACAGCATACATCAAGAAAACACCATCACAATCATATATGAGATGTTGTGATGGTTGTGAAAATTAGGAAACCTCCCCTCTAGTTCCTACCAATTTTACAAAATACAGTAGATGTTATTTTTTTATATTCTTATGTTCCATATTTCGAGCCCATCATGCGGGCAAATACCCTATTCCTCAATTCTAGTTACCCAGCATCACACGTTTTACACCTACATGAAGCTCTTCGCCTTATTACTCAAAATAACTATTTCCAATTTAATGGAAAAATATATAAACAAACACAAGGAGTCCCAATGGGCTCCCCATTATCTCCTATTCTCTCCCCATTATCTCCTATTCTAGCTGAACTGGTCATGAGAAATATAGAACATGGGTTTTCAATGCCCCTTTAAGAATCCAATATCCTCTCATATATCTACGGTATGTCGACGATGTGTTAATTGCGTGGGATAGTTCCAATGAGGACTTGCTTCAATTTACTCAAATATTAGTCTCTATTTATCCTACAATTAATTTTACTGTTGAAGAGCAAGAAAACAATAGAATATCTTTCCTGGACTTAGATATACATACATCTCCGGAGCTTATATTTTCTGTCCATCATCGAAATAATAATGCTCCACAAATCATTCCAGCTACCGCCTACCAACCACCACATTACAAAAACTCTGCTATATCTTCGCTAATACGGAGGGCTTACCTTCTCCCTTCTACTCGGGTGCTAGTAGAAAATGAATTATCCATTATTCAATCTACCATGTTAAAACCAGGTTACTCACATTCAAAATTCATTTTTCTAAAAAATCGTGTAAAAAACAGATTATTTCCACAATATTTTCTTTCCAATAAAGAAAACTTAAAAATAGTGCACCCCCAATACCCTACTTAGCCCCTATCTCCTTAAAAATTGCACATCTTTTTAGAAGTAATGGTTATATTCTACCAATTACACCGCAACCAAATCTAAGAAGACTACTATGTAACGATAGGGATAAGTACCAGTTGAATGAAAAATCCGGTATCTACCAAATCCTGCTAAAGCACACACTAACTGGAGAAGAGATTAGTTATGTAGGAGCTATTGCTAGAAAATTAAGTTCATGCATCCATGAACATCAAGAAGACATCAAAAATAACAGGCCAGTTACAGAATTAGCAAAGAAAATACTCGACCACAACTACCAGCCTCTATGGAACGAAATAAAATTACTAAAATGTTGCAACGAACAAAAAGAGTTATTTATTTGGGAGACACTCTACATTTCTACTACCATACCATGCAACTCCCCAACTTTCGAGCTCCCACAAATTTGTATAACAGCTTTCAAACAACTCAACCCAAGATAAAAATACTCCTTTGTTGCTCATATGCTTATTTTGCCTTGGTGCACATAAATGCATGAACTATGCTCTTTTGCAGACATTTCTCACTTTAATATTTATTTATCATCATTTCTACGCGCTGTGATGCAAGAACCTTTAAATAATATTCAAAAACCATAATCAGCTGAACCGTCGGAAATATCATTCGAAATATTTGATATTGAAAATTAAAAATCCATCGGAATATCGTTCGGAAAGCTTAAACTATCGAATTCTATGTACCGGCTGATGATGGTAGTTTTACACTACTGAAAGTGCTAGTGGATAAAACCTTTCTCCAAAAGTCAGATAAATTTTTGTAACCGGAACTCCACTCCTGTAACGCCACTGCACGTAAGTGTTCTAATAATAATAAGATGTGTTTTTGTATCTCTTCATGGAATTTCACACACTATTCTACAGTGGTGATTTTGGACAGGTATACATTTCTGTACACATTTTTCCATTCTGTGATGAATTAAGTTAACCGAGGAAGATTGTTAAAAAAAACGGTTAAAAACGTTTTTATTTTATTAATATTTATTTGCTGGATTTTTTAAAGGTGTGTTTTATTCTTAGTTTGTTAACCAGTATGTGCATTATATTTAAGTATAAGGTTTTTACTGGTTGGGGTTATTGTTTGGTAAATTTTGTATTTATTTTTGTTTAAAAAGAAAGGTTTCTGAAAAATTGGTTGCTATTTAAAGATGGTCATTATTGGAGATTCAACTGTGCTATATTTTGCCATCTTACATATAATTATGTAATTTTCCTTACAAATATATAAATTATAAATTTGCATCTTAGCAAAAGCATTTTTTATTTTCTAACATTTATAAATTTAAAGTCTGAATTATTTATTTATAGTTTTATATATATATAGTTGA